CCGCTTGCCGGCTCCCGGAGCCTCGCCACTGCTTGACCATCAGAACAACTGGATTGAGAGCGCAGTTGCATTTGAGGGCGTGAATTTTGACTGCTGCTTGCCTGAGGTCGTGCACACATGCCACAGGCGCTGAGCCTGGGCAACTGCCTGCACACCATCGATTGCGCCAACCGCTCCCAACTGTCAATGGCACAACAAGGCACGGCAACTGGTCGCTCTCGCAAGTGTGACGCCAGATCAGCTTTGCCTTTAGACTCCCGGGGCAGCCGACCCACTTCGCTTGGGCTTGGGCCGCCTTGAAAGAGTAATGTCGGAAGCCGTGTCGCGATAATGTCGAGTCATACGCCTCCAGCATAGGTATATATACACGAATCAAAGTCATATAACTAGTTGTTGCGCAAAGCCAGATCCGATCTACCGCTGAATCACGACGAGAGCAACCCGAAAACCACGACCCGCCCCCGAAGTTGCACACAAGCACACGCATTCAGTTTCAAAGGCTCAAAAATGGTGTTCTCCTGGATCGGTCACCACCACGACGAGGGTGGGCGGGCTGGCAGGCTTGCGGGTCGTGCCAATGCCCAACAGCACGAAAAAACCAACAACTGCCATGCGAGCCCCTTGATTGCCTTTATCAAGTGCACGGTCGACCTTTTCTGAGCAGGCATGAAAGTAGCTCATGATTTCTGAAAGACTTCAAACATGAGCATCTCTGTTCGCGTGCCAATCCGCCCAAATCACGCACGCGGCCACATGTCCATGCATGCATTTCGGCAGCCCCTGGTCCTGCTGCGCTGCACCATTGATGGGACCTCCTATGCTCCCCCCTACCTGCCCCCATTGTGCGCCTGCAGAGAAGGCCTACAAGGCAATTTATGAGGGCGGCGGCGCCGGCCCCTCCCTCGGCCACGAGGCGCTCGCAGGTTCGTGCCTGGGTGCAGTGCACCGCTGACTCGCTGCCGCCAGCTGGCGGCTGCTGGCATTGCATACGACAGTTAGCGTTGTGGCAGATGCGCAGCATGCCGTGACCGCAGCTGACGGGCGGCCATCGCCCAAAGCAATTGCAAGTGGGCTCAGATCCGATCAAACGCCCTGTTTCGTGGTCAAGCTGTCGCATCAAGCTCACCTGCACACACCCTGAGCCACAGCTGTGCATGCAACGTGGGCGATTTAGTTGCAAAAACCCCCTTTCCCTGCTTTGCCAGGCGCCGTCAGCTTCTACGCGATGCACGAGTTTGAGAAGCGCCGCGAACGCGAGGGCTTCAGCGACCACACGAAGGCCAGGTGGGGCA